TAATTGTCTTCCCCACTTTCTTGGATGTTATTGATAAAGTGAAACTAAGTATGAAAATGTAAAATAAAAGCCTGCTAATGCTGTATATGTCAGCAATCTTTCTGTCAAACGTAAATTCAGCTCATTTCGCACTTAAAGGGGACCACGGCAGATATCAGGACTGGCAAATGTCTTCTTTTGGAAATAGTGTGTTACAAGAACTTCTCCAGTGCGCTGCTGATTCAGACTGCAGCGGAACCGTCAATTAAAACGTTTTTTTCTAAGAGGAATTAATGTAATTTCTCTTCTGTGGACACTATTTTCTTCGCTGCTTCATCAATAATGTTTGACAGGATAGAAATAATTGGGAAGTGGTATGTACAATCCAGTAAAACATTATATTTCAAATTTTTTCACTATCTTCTATCACTAGCTTGATATTTTCTGTTGAATCGTTGCTGTCAGTTTACTCGATCAAATGTGTGCTTGAACTTGCCTTGCAATTTTGACCAGCAAAAAAATCAAAAAAAGCTTCAGTGATCTCATCGTTATGTATACTAAATTGTAAAATAGCTATGAGTCTCCAAAAATCTATGTAGAACTCAGTTTTTTTGTAGGCAAACCTTCACCTTTGAATATTTTAATAAATCAGTAAACATGTTTTGTACCTGAGATTCATGGTGCCAATCAGTAGTCGGAGTTTTAAAGTGTGTTCTAGTTGAGAATGCGAGTTTGGAATTATTATGAAAACAAAAAATGCGGTCCTTGAATCTCCTGAAATCAGAAGAAAATTAGTTTTATAATGCTGCATTTGACGACAGCTGAGTTCAGCTTATATAGGTAGAAAAAGTAGTACAACAGAGGCACCAAATTAGAATTTGTCTGTATGCAGTTGATAAATGCCGAAATCTACTACGTATTCAGCTATGATAAAAAACTATCACATTTTCGGTTTACAGACTAAATGTTACAGAAAAACTTTTCAGGTAAAAATTTTCTCTGTTGAATAGGTATATTTTACTAACAGTGAGAGTTATCCTGGGTAACTTTCAATAATCTTGTCGCTACCACACGCGAAATGGCAATTTTGCGTTGTAAAATGGTTGGCTACTGCGTGCTCTCTGAGCAGAAGCTTCCGGGAAGCGGCAGGCAGGATCACTACAAAGGCAGGACAAGTGTATTAATAGAAGGTGAGGCTCGGTTAGGGGCAGTGTCTTTGAGTTAATTCCGGTCGGTGGTGCTCTTCTTTTGGCTTGTGTTTTTCACGATTCTTTCACTTACCCATAGGCAGATTACCTTCCTTGTGTGTGCTCTTAATAGTAAGGGGTAGTCATTATTTTTTACACTATGAAGTATTTACTAGTTACTGAGACTGCTTTCTCGGATTTTATGTCTGTTATGGTATCTCGAGGTGTAGCTAATAAAATAGTCAATGGTAAGATCAGTCAAACGCTCAAGGTGCTCATGCGTATACTTAATGGGCTCAGGCAAGAGAGTGCGGCTGTAGTTCTTCCTAAGCAAACAAAATGGTAGTTCCAGTGCTGAACAAGTGAAGAGTGGTCAGAATCTAGAGTTTAAGGCCAGTCAACGTCTTAGACTCACATCAGGATGTAAGTCAGCTGAGTGATTGGTACTGTAAATGGTAAGGGCTAATTGCGCTTACAGTAAAGATCGTAGAAATTAGGTTTTGTAGGATAGTCAATGAGAGGAGACAAGGAGGTCGGGTCTTCAGCTTCAGGAGGCTGTCTGTGGCCGCGACGAGTTTTCAAAAAACTATCTCGTCTTTCTACTTGGTCAGCTGCTTGATTTAATCACTGCCTGGTCAGCAGTGGACCAAAGCTTGTTGATTCAGACAGAAAGCAAGTGGAAGGTAAATCCTCTACTCACTATGGAGCTGTCAATGAGAGGAATAAACAAGCAATTCTGTATTTTAGGAAGTTGGGGAAATGAGTCGAACTGGTGAGAGTAAGCGATACCGAAAGAAAAAACTTTAACTGATGCAGTACCTGATTAAGAGCGAATTTAGGTTGAAGGTTTGCTCTCTGCTTTGTGTTACAGTTGTCTATGGATTTCAAATTATTATGATCTTTTAGCTTAAAAGGTATTTCGTCTCTGCTAAGCAAAATGAGTTCTTGTAATACCATTGGCAAAAGCGTTTTTGGTTTTTAGGATGCAGTTGACTAAAACAACTCTAGTATTGTATTTTAATGGTGCACAACTGTCTTTTTTTTTCTGTTTTTGAATCAGAGAATAATTTTCCAAAGTTCTCTGAAGAACTGAAAAGACAAAAACTTGATAAGAAGAAGACCAAATAGTATAGAACATACAGAAATAAGTACGAAAGATTTATGGCAATTAGAAAGTGCTGAGAGAACAAGTTTTAAAAAATTGGCACATCAACCATCTTTATTTTTGTGAGGGCAAGCATGTTAGAGTCACCTCATAAAAGCTTATTAGCAGTTCTTGAGCATTTTTATCTCTTACATGTGGAAAAGAAAGTGGTTGAATTATCTTTTTGATCAAGTGTAAATCACACACCGGTCTTGAAAAGATTGAAAAAGATCGTTTCTTTTTTGCAGTGTAGACCGATAGGTGAATGTACAATACGAAAATATGCTTTTGATATAGTTCGAAGAGGAGCTTCACTTTATCTTGGCGTATCTTTGCTAATTCTTAGTCTTGGGTGGTAAAACTTTAAAGCTTCTTATTTAAGCTGGCAAGCGTCGACATTTTTTCATTTACTTTCTAATATAAAAACACTGTTAAGGTATCAGAATCTAAAATTGTATTCGACATACATTTTTTCTTCTGCAAATGTGGTTACACTTAGTGGACTTCTGCTGTTGATGTCAGATTCGTTTCAAATCAGGAAAGTACAACTGAATAACAGTGGAAAAAACTGTAGATAACAGAAGGTAACCAACACTAAGATAATTATTTAAAATGGCTTAAAATAAGAGGGATTCTGATTGTTTCGATTTCAGCTAAGTTTGAAAGATCATTTACTTTCTTGCAAAAGAATAAATTTTACAAAAATTAGTCTATTTAGAAAGGTATGAAACAACAAAACGTTGAGAAGAATTTGAAAAGTAATGTTTATAACAAAAGTTTAGGAATATCAGACTTACATTAAACGCAGAAAGCAATTGTTACAAAAGCAAACTGACGCTGGCAGGTTCCCGTTGAAAACTGAAGCAGAAACTGTGTAACGTTATAAGCGGCTGAGGGTAGGAATCAATCTATCAGTTCAAATCCTCGTTTTTTTACTCTGACAGGACCTTGGAACTGCTAAGCAGCTTCTCAAGAATATTACTTTTCGCTTGTTGGAAACATTTTTACTTTTTTTGCAGCTGAATTGGCATCGTCAATTTGTTTTACGCTAAGCTGTACCAAAAAGCATGAATGATAACAATTCAAAGCAAGGAGTTTGATTGGAAACGTTAACGTTACAAGAGTTACTGAACTAAATTAATTAAGCTATACAGCAACTGAAAAAGTCTTTGTTTTTGTTAACTCTCTGCTGTACAGGTAGAATTTGATAAAATGTACAATTAGCTGAGTTCTACACCTTAGAAGTTCATAATTTTTCAAATTTTTATGAAAATTTTTTTTTGCTAGTCGTTTTGAGCCGCATTTTTCCAGAAATGTTACACTGCTTCAAATTTAACAATGTGGGTTTCTATTTTTCAACGATCTGAAAATTTTTTTTCACTGAGTAATAGTCAAAAAAGTAATTCAATACGATGCCACTATAGCATAGCAAACGAAGTCACTCTGTCCAGATACTGTAGTGCTGAACAAGTATATAAGTTGAGTCTGCTGATCACTGTGCTCGACAGAATTTTGTTTTTAAATTTCTCGGTCAATGACTACGGTATTTTGAAAAGGTGGAAAAAACTGTATTCATGGCTTGTAATATTTTTTTGGAAATTTACACTGTTTTTTTCCTACTCACTGTTATTGCTGGGACAGTTGTCAGAATAAAAAAAAAATTCACTGGCTTTTGTTTTGGAGTTCAATGGTAAAAAATCTAAAAGATTTTTGAAATAGGTAAGCGAGTAGTGGTTAGGTGGCAGATGAATTTTTATTGATTATTATGGTTCAGTTGCCTAAAAGCTCTCATAATTTTTAAAGGAAAGTACGGAGGAGTGCGTTGTATTCATGTGTCGTTAATGGTAGTCGTCAGTCAATGTCTTTTTTTGGTTCACCTTTACTATTCCATAGGAGAAAAATTACTATGCGATGGTCATCGCTGAAGATCGCGGATACAACTACAAAATTTGAGGTAACAGTGGTTGGAAAAAAAGCCAGCAAGGGCAAAGAAATAACGCTGATATACTAATATCAGTCAATGAGAGATGGTTCAAAAAAAAAGAATACAGATGACTTTGCATGTGCATTGTTCGGTAACGAGGGAGGTGAAGAGAGAAAAAAAGAGAGGAAGAAAGAAAGGCAAGTATCAATCTTCATCTTTTCGCCATGCATTTATACGTTTGTCGGTCACCGTGATTGGTATGGTCCTGGCGTTGTCGGCCTCGGCTGTCGGTCATCTTTCGCTGTCACTGCGATGCCTACCGTGGTTGATTCCCACATCCCTTCCTGTTTGCAACAACTTAACATTGATTTTTCAGTATTCAGAATAGTTTTTATCCACCGTCAGAGGTCATCGTATTTGCATTGTTGTTGAAGATAAAAAAGTTCTTGCCAGGAATACCAGTTCTGGTATTTACTGAATTGTCTTCTCGTCTTTTTTAAATTTAGTCTTTTACTTTTCGCTTCTAAGCTGTTTAATATATTTTAGTTGTCAATATATGCCACAGCAATAATCGGATTTTACAATACTCATATATTTATTTATTTATTTTAAACAGAAGTTGAAGGCAAATGGAAAACACTGTACTTTTATGCATATCACTTTTCTATCAATTTTTCTTCTTTTTGCTTTTTCATTATAAATGTTTTTCTTCTCTGGTCCTTCTCTTTTTTTACTGTTCGGCAAGTAAACTGTTTGTAAAAGTGAGATTAAAAGCATGAGAAATGATGAGGTTTTTGTAGTTCCAAAGAAGACAACAAAAAGCATTGAAGAAACAATGTGCACAGAAGAAAAACATAAAACCCCTCAAAGAAGTGTTTTTTTAGTTTTTTTTGTCAGCTGCTGTTTAGCTGTAAAATTCAGGCAACATTTATATTGGTAATTGGTTGATAAAATAGGTAAGAAAGTATTATCTTAAACTTTCTTGAGGTTTTTCTTACTTATATTGTTCTGGTTTTTAATTGCTAGGTTTTTTCCTAGAAATAAAGAGGAAAACTTCGAGATCAGTAACTGAATCATACGCCTTAGCGAAAAAAGATTTTTAAAGCAATTTTTTTAGATGTTCTAATGTAGTTTAGTGTATTTTAAGTTTCTAAAGTTTTTTGGGGTAAAATTTTTTATAGTCTGTTGGAACTAGTGGAACTTTTTTCTTCCGTAACTAGATTTTGTCAAATTACTGAGCAGGACAAACAACATTTAGCGTGAACGATACGTGCTACAAACATCACTTTGACAGTTACATCGCTGTAAACAAAAGAACACTGAACAGTTTCTCTCGAGGCAATCTCCATTTACAAGTAGCCATCTCTTATCAAAATAAGCTCAAGAAGACTAATTATACACTAGTTTTATATGTAAACTGTTTATGTAGATGCTTGAATTTGATTGTTTTTTTTATATTTTTGCTTTCATATTTGCGTATTTGATGGTATACAATGCAACATACCTGTGACTATTAGCACTTGATTGCGCTAACGGCACTGAACTGTTGGTACAGTAATGGTAACATTCGTATGAGTAGCATAGGGTTCAGAGCATAGTCAGCATTAGCCCAAATAACACCAATCAATCCAAGAAAATGCTCAGTTATCTATATTATGAATGGTAATCTGAAAATGTTCAGGAATGGGCAGTCAAAAGTCAACGTTACCGCAAACGATTACACTGGTGGTAGCGTTGATTTTGCTGGTCGTTGGGGTTGCACTCAGTATTGCAGCTGTTCTGTCACCGTCATGGCAAGTTGTGGACATTCGGGAATACCACGAAGAACATCATGTAAGAGAAAATAAAGTTTTTTTAGTTGTCATCTACTTCCTTATTGAATGTTCTTCTATCTTTCTGGCAGCCTAATTGAACCATGAAGAAACTTTATGAATCAAACTTTCGACACTGTTTTTTACAAGCTACACTGGTCGGAAGAACTCACACTAACTTTTGAAAATTTTTATTCATATATTCTTTTATTTTCTGAGATGTTTATCTGGAAAATTAGTCTTAATTTCTACTTATTCATGCATACTGAGCATTCAAAGACTGGGAAAAAATGCACTGGAGGATTTAAAAATACAATTTATGAGAAAAAAAGTGATGGAAAACTAAATATACGTTTAGTTTCATGAAACTTTTAGGACAAAATTTTAAGAATTTATAACTAAACATATCAGTAGTGAATTAGTATTTGTGTATTCATCTTAACAGCCTTGATTACTGCCCGAAATAATAACATCAAATTCTGTAGCATGGACTTTGGCAAGACTGTACTCGGGCGCATGTACATCGTCGAGCTGAAGAATATCATCATGATGAATATGGTCGGGCGATACCGCCAGAACTTGCACCATTTTCATGCACCTATAAATTTGATAAAAAAGCTGAAAATATTGTTCAAGAGAATCTGGATGACAACAGTGCTGCAATTGAGGCTGAACTGCATCAATTTTACGGTAAAGAGTTTTGAAGCAGTTACGGGAGTTTGTTGAATAAGCAAGTTAAAAAGATTTCCTGTTGGCTTTTTTGTTTATCATATTAATTTTTTGCAACTATCTATGCAGCAACTGGCAGTCAAAAAACTGTCAAAATCGCTTTAAAGCGACTGTTAGAAAAAAAAGCGGACAAAAACAACCGATTTACTTAGTCACCAGTCATAATTTTTTTGCTAATTTACAAGAAACAGATTCAGTATTTACTCGATGCACCAAATCATCTAATTTTAGGCTGGCAAAAAGCTGTACTAATTGGTATAATGCTATCAGTGGTTGCAGCATGCATCGGTATCACAATGGGTACTTGTGCTCCATGTCATA